TATAATAGGCTTTTGTAAAGAGGAGGGATGCTAAGGAGGAATGGCGCCCCCCTGTGAAACTACAGCAGAAGAGCTGCCAGCAGTACATGTGAAGTCTAGACTATTTTTCTTCTACTCTGTCAATTTTCCAGTATATTAACACCCGCTGTGCTTGTGCAAAGATCAATTACACAGATAAGATTACCACACAGTATAACAGCCATACAACAGCCCTGTCTGCAAGTTTCCACTGTAAAGCCTCTTTGGAGATAATAAATATCAGTATCATGTAACCTGTCTGGGTTGAAATCAGGACAGTCCTCGAGTGTCTTTCCTACAGATATCAAACCTGAAGCACTTAAGCAACACGAGCTACTCGTCCACCCAGACAAACAGCAAGATGATCCATTCGCTGTGCACTCCAATAAGCGATGTTCATCTGTCTAAGCCAATCTACAAACTTCCCTCTTTCTCTCTCCTCTACCAGCGGCTCTAAATGATATATGAAGTACCAGCATGAGCTTTCTGGAGAGACAAATGCCAACGACTCGCTCTAAAATGTCAAATATGTCAGTTGGAGACATTCAATGGGAGAATCTGCCTGATCAATTTGAAAGCCTGCGTCTCACACGATCGTTGGCTGGCAGGGATGGCAAAGGCTGATTTGACCTGCCCAGAGGTGAAATGTCTCTCCATGCCAAGCATGAAGGTAAGCTATTTACAATCCTCAATTCCAAGTTAGTGCTCTCCTTGTGGAAAAGGTCTTCCATTGTCTCTGTTAAAATTGTAAAAAGACAAAACAGCACCCATTAGGACAACCTACAAAGTATTATGGCTAACAAAATAATACAACTTACACTGATGCGAATGTATCGTGACCGTGTCCTAAATGGATATTGGAACATTTCTGTATGTTATCTGACCTGTGGGACAAAAGAACTATTACCTTGCCTTTTACTTAAAACCATGACCAACCAACAGTGGTTAACTAAATGATTTTAGTCTTTATTTAAGGAAGGCACATAAGTCAAATACATAAAACAGTTCATTACAATCTATAGAAGTGTGAATTCAGTCAGCTTAAATTAAGTTAAATTAGTTTTCAATTCACAGTACTAGACACACAACACGTTAGAAGTCGGCTTGACCTTATTCAAGCTCAACTCATTAAACTTGTCAATCAGTAGTATTTATACAAATATGGTGGTTTGTACACTTGACTTTACAGTAGTTCCATAATCATAAACTATTTAAGGTCTGGGCGAGATCCCCATACTCTCAGTGTTGCACTTGGAAGCGCTTTCCTCTAAGCACCCCCTCAAAGTTGGTCATGCAGCTGGTCAGGAAGGTGTGGCACCTGTTGGAATAGTCCTCCGGACAGTCTCTGAACAGGCTTACATGGGGTGGGGTGATGAAGTCAAAGCTCTCTACGGACAACCCTTTCTCCTGCAGTGCTCTAACCATCCTCTCCACATCCCTATACCTGATCACCCGGTCTGCCCTAGAGTAGAGGTACATCTGAGGCCAGGGCGCAGGCCGCTCCATCATGGCATCGTAGTGGTTCTTGTGGAAGTATTTGGTCACAGGGTACAGGACGACCCTAAGCAGGACCACCATCACAGCAAACAGAGCTAGGAGGAAGCACCGCAGCAGCACATTGACGTTTGGGCCCAGTGTGGTCTTGAGGGCACGAAGAGCACCTCTCACGTTTTGGCTCCCTGGCGCACTGTCCACAACTGTGCCCATCACACACAGAGAACTGAACTGCTTATGCCTTTGCAAGAGCTCCACCATGTAGCGGTAGAGCATGAAGCCGCCATTGCTGAACACATGGAAGAATATAGGGTTGTTCTCCACCTCATAGTCATAGAGTATTTCAAGCAGTTTGTGAGCAGTGCTTCTGAGTTCCTTGTATCCAAATGATTCCGAGATGAATACCGTCTTCAGAGGCGCAGTGTAGCGTACAGTCACACATCCCTGAAACGATTACAGAAGAGGAGTAAGACACATACAATACCTCCAAAAGTTTGTACATACCTTGTAATTAGTGAATTCAGCTACTTTAAGGTGCACACATTGCCAACACAAGTGGTTGATCGTGAATACATAGCTTATAAAATATTTGTAGAAAAGCACTGTCACTAGAAAGGGACAGTCTGCAGCAGCCACACATGAGCCTAAGATCAACATGCCCAATGCCAGGCAATGGCTAGAGGGGTATAAAGCCACCTGCACTGGGCTACGCACTTGTTTAGTTGTCTAAGAATCTGAAGTCAGCCGATTAAACAAGTATAATCAAGTGTGCTTGTGCTTGCTTTGTATGAATCACTGCAGCCACACCAGCCCTTTGCAGGCAAGACTGGACACCCTGGATCCCAGAAGAGTACAGGCTGTTAGTGCAGCAAAGGGGGACAAAGTGCCTATTATTACTCTTGATTTCAGAAAAAACGTTGGATTAGCCAGTGTTTAAAAACCTTTAGACAGTGTAATTTAACCTCACCTTGCACACACCTGCTGCAGATGTAACCTACAAGTATTGAGTAAAGGGATACTTAAAGCTTTGGACTCACCTGCGTATTATAAATTGAGCTGTACTTTGACAGATGCTTGTCTCTGCACCCAGCCCAGCCTAAAAGAATAACAACTGGCTCCTTTGACCCGCGCCAGTATTTCTCTGCCAGAAAAGATAAACAAAACTGACTGAAGGTGGCTTGGCAACAGAGCATGACAAACAAATCAGCTGCAACACTCCTGTCATTTAGCTAGATCACCTAATGCAAGTAGCGAAAATTTAGGATGAAATTAACTAGCTAGGACTTCACCAGTTCGCGTTGATCGATCGTTATGCCAGCCAGCAACATGACATTAACGTTAGCTAATGCTTATTTCAGTTCAGTTCTCGGCAACCTAACAGCTAAACAGCTAAATATATACACATTCATAACTATAAAACCAATGATGTCTTGGCTCACGAAAACAGAAAGCCAGAATTCAGCAAATTCAGTCACAATTCGAGTGGTTAACAGTAACTACAGCACAATAGCTCCTCACTCCTGTACACGGGTGATAAAAGGAGGCGTTACTCGCTAATGTTAGCTAGCCAGCTAGTGCTAACACACAGCCGCCTTACCTGATATCTGAGGCTCTGGAAAAACTATATTGTAGTCTATGCCATCATCTCCCATATTGAGTTTTTTTAATTATCACTCCTGTCTGACTGCCATGAATGTGAGTTTCAAAAAGGGGTCTGGGTTTTACTCCGACCTCTCCGGCTAAAGGGACGGAGGAAAGCACAGCAAGGTGGAGCAGAGATCATCCCTACCACTTCCGGCTGACGTTCCTCATTCAAAAATAAATATGTAAAACCTAAATTAAAAAACGTAACTTTTTCTGTAACATTATTGATGATAATTTGTGTCTGTATTTATTTTTTATTTTCGTACTTTTTATTTATTTATTTATTTATTTTAAACTACACACAAAGACTGTTCTCAGGGTTTTTTAGTAAAGGCAATGGTTCTGTTTGGGCATTTCATCATTAAATGGCTCTTTACATGGTGAAATGGTTCTTCGGAGTGATTGAATGCGTTGTATATGGTTCTATGTAGAACCTTTTTGAAAATGGTTCTATATAGCGCCAAAAAGGCTTTTCTATTGTTACAAGCTTGACGTTGTAACAACAGCAGAACCCTTTTTGTTTCAGTCTGAAGAACCATTTCACCATGCAAAGAACCATTGAATCATGAAATGGTTCTATACAGCACTCATGGCTAAACAGAGCCATTGCCTTTACTGAAGAACCATCTTTTTAAAGTGCATAGTAGTATTTGGTGTCTGTTCATATCAGTGTGTGTTTTATTCATGGTTTAATGTCTATATCATCAATTTTATTATTGTTGGCTTGTTTGCACTTAGCGATGCACCAATATCCAATATTTTGATGTAAATATGTGCTAATGCATAAATATTTATAAAATGTAGAAATTGGGATTAAATTCACTTGGATTAGCATCATGGAGAATTTTTTTTTCCTGGATGGTTACAGATAGTAAATTTAATAAAATGTTAGCTTAGCAGCCCAGTGTAACATTCTGCTCCTCTGGAATAAAAATATCGGTTTGAAATGTCAGTCAAATCTTATCTAATCTGATGCCATTACTTTTAAAAAATTTTATATATCTACCAATACAGATATGATTCTGATATCATCATTCATCCATTCTTATGTCATATCAGTCAACTTTATTTATCTTTTAATTATCCTAATTAAATTATCTTTTGTAATTTTGGCAAGGCTCCTATTTGATGTGCTCTGAAACAGGCTGTTTAACTAGGAGAATTCTGGCCTTGACCCCATTTTCCCAGCAATGTATAATGTTGCCTTTGGTGAAGACTTGTGGCTTAAGTAGAAGTTTGTTCAGCTGGTACAACGGGGGATTCCGGTGGCAAAAGAGCAGAGGCTGTGCACCAGCCTTTACTGTGCGTAAATGGGCCTGGTTAAGGATATTATGTCACTGAAAATAAGAAACATGTTTGCTACTCAAAGTTTGCATTCACCATTTTATTCATTTCTAGATGAAATCTAGAGCAGACTTGTACAGAAAAAAAATGTCACATGAACTGGCCTATGAAGAGAATGAAACAGCTTAGGATGTTTACTCTTGAAGTAATATAACATGGGCCAGTGTTGTGAACATGGATTAAGCCCAGCAAGAATCATAATTGTACAGTCATTCACAATTTAAAATCTTTGTTAAACTTTGTTTAGGACTCATCTTAAAGAAAACCAGCACTAAAATTCTAATATAATATTCAAAGAAATAACCCACACCCGTCATGTAATGTCCAGCAATTTACAAGACGAAACAAGATTTTTTAGCTAAAACAGGTACAATGTTGAAATGAGACCACAGTGGGACAAGTTTAATAGAAAATTTGATTGCACCATACACTTTGTACAATGAAGCAAGTTTAGGTTTGAAGGAGTACTCAGACCAAAGCCTTACAGCAGTATTTCTTTGTCAGTTACCTGACAGGAGGAAAGCTTTACCGTCAGAAAGCATGCTTCCGTCTGAAACATCTGCTTCAAGAGTAATGGAGGGCACGGGCATGCTGCCAACCCATTCAGCCTGCCCCACTTTCTGCCCACTGCAAGCACTTGTGCTAGCCTGCTGTGGAGGGATGGCAGTGTCTGTTGAAATCTCTGTAGACACTCGTCTGGCGAAAGGTAGTGAGTTGACACTGGAGCCGTCTGCCTCACTCTCTGTCCAACAGGAGTCGGTGTCCGAGGCCGATGACAGCCGGGTCTTCCCCCAGCGGCCATTGGCACGGGCAGCATTGCCAATGCAGACACCCAGGGAGCATTGGCTGGTGAGAGTCGTCCGGCGAGAGGAAGAGCCACTGCCAGAGCTAAAAGAGGAGCGCATGTCCTTTTCACCAACGCACAGAATTATGCGGAGTATGGGCACATAGCGGGCAATAGCTGCTCGGTACTTGGGGTGCGTGATGGCATAGATTATGGGATTGTGGATGGCAGAAGCCTTGGCGATCACTGCAGGCACAGAGTTCATATAAGGGGTGAGAAGGTGGGCATAGCCAGCAGTGGCAGTGAGAGCCACAACGGAATAAGGTGACCAGGATATCACAAAGAGTGAGATGACCAGGAGGGCAACCTTGGCCATTTTCCATTCACTCTGCATGCGTTCAAACATCTTGTGCGTTTCCCCGCAGTCAAGCTCCTTCACCTCCATCCGAGCTGATCGGATAGCCTGGAATATGGCCAGGTAGCAGCCACCGATGATTCCCAAAGGGATAAAGAAGACAAAAATGAATAGGAGGATGGTGTAGGTACGTACCGATGGCGTGAAGGACATGTAGTCCCAAGAGCATGAGGTTTGGAGACCTTCTGGGACATAAGCGCTCCAGCCGAAGAAGGGAGGTAAACTCCAGCCAAGAGCATAGAGCCACACCAGAGCCAGCACCGCCCCTGCCCTGCTACGGCTTACCCTGCCCAGCAGAGCAAGAGGCCGGGTTATGGCGAGGCAGCGATCAGCAGCTATTGCCATCAGGGTCATCATGGAGCAGATCCCAAACAAGCCCCCACAGAAAGCATACAGCTCGCAAGCTTTCTCCCCAAACACCCAGCGGTGATGCAGGCTGGCCACAAAGAAGACAGGCGACTGAGTAAGGGACATGAAGAAGTCAGCCACGGCCAGGTTGACCACCAACATATTGCCCGGGGTGCGCAGTGAGCGGCTGCGGCAGAAGACATAGATGACTAGCGCATTACCAATCATGCCCGTGATGCCCACCATGAGAATGATTGAGCCGATGATGTAGTGAGCATGGTCAGGAACATCCACGGTGGGGAAGGGGTGAGGAGGCTCATGGTGTTGGTGGCTGTGGGTCGGCCCGTGGAAAGGCACATGCAGTATCTTGTAGTTGCGAGCGCTCAGGGACTCCTTGAACCCAGCCGTGCAGTTGGACTCACCAGAGTGGCAGAAATGCCCTCTCCGAGCTGAGTGGAGGCTCATGGCACGAGTCTAAAAATTGCCAAAATTCTTCAAGGAAGGTCAAAATAGTAGCGAATCAGTGATAAAATAACATAAAATTTTCTTTTATGCCAAAGGACCAAGAAACTCTACATTGAGTAGAAAATTTAAAAATGGCACATTGCTTGATGTGATAAGTAACTTCCTCCCTCTATCATTCTGGAGTTAACTGTGCACAGCATTAGCTTTTTATATGTATATTGATCAATCCACACAGGATATTATTGATCCACTGTTCTCTGGTCTGGTTTTACGTCTGTGGGCTGATACTCTCACTGAAAATGGGGGTTTAAAAAAGCAGCGGAGAAAAAAAGCAGCTCATCCAAACTGACCATTAGTGACCCCATTTATATAATTTCCCTTCAACATTCAGTTTGAGTTGAAGTCCTGCCAGGCTTTCCCCAAACTCAACTGGGTCACTTGGTAAAGGGCAGAAAGGGAGCTGTGCCCTAAAAGGGGACACCAAGAGAAAAAGTGGGCCATGACTAGCTATGGATTTTTGGGAGGCATTAACTGACTAAATGTCACCACTGTTCGTGATCAGGTTAATATATGGAAAAACAACACCTTTTGACCCAAAATGAAACAAAATAGATCGTTTGAGTGGCTGCAGTGAGCCGAATCAATTGTGCAGGGTAGAAAAATGTAGAGCAAAGTGTTTGCTCCAATAAGTAACATCCTTAATCCTGGTAAAGTGCTCAGTGACCTGAAAAGTAAACAAACCTATTCTGCTGGCTCCACCTAAGCAATGGCCAACTTCTCATCTGCCTCACAGAAGGGACTTAAATACCTCGTCAGAGACAATGACACTGGACAGTTCAGTTATGTGTTAGTGATATTTAGAGTTTATTGATTCATAATCAAATCCTAATGTACAAGAAATCGCTGTGTCATTTTATTCAAACAATTTTACATGATCCAATTACAAACTTAATTCCAAAAAAGTTTGGACAGTAGGTAAAATACAAATAAAAACACAAAGCTTTGACTTTTAAATATAATTTGAACGGTATTGGACAAAAACACTACAAAGACAAGATATTTAATGTTTTACCTCCTCAGCTTCATTGTTTTTTATGTGCTCATATGCTCATTCTGACATTGATGCCTGCAACATGTTTCAGAAAAAGTTGGTAAATGGGTAATTTAAGACTAGGAACAATGGGAAATGTTAAAAAAAAACTTAAACAAGTGAAAAAATTATGCTTGACTATAGAAGAAGCATCCAGGAAAGGCCTAGTGCTTTATGAGCAAGGATGGGTCAACTCTCGCCAAAATCCATCAGTTTCATCAATTTTCCTCAGCAAGCAACTGCAAGGATTTTAGGTATTTCACCCACTACAGTGCATAATATCATCAAATGATTTATGGAATTCGGAGAAATCTCTGTGCATAAAGGAAAAGGCCACAAAATACAACTGAATGCCCAAGACCTTGGAGCAACATATGCTGCCTTTTACATCTTTTCCAGGGACATCCATGCTTACTTCAACATGACAACACCAAGAAAAATTCAGCATGTGTTACAACAGCATGGCAATGTAATCAGAAAGAGCAGGTGCTAGATTTGCCCCCCCAGTGTCCAGAACTGTCTCCCATTGAAAACGAGTGTCTTATTAAACTCAAAATACAACAACAAAGTCCCTGTATTTTACAAAGATTTTTACAATGTTATCCTACCAAATGTTAAGCACTTTCTGAATTGTTACATGAATTTGAGACGATGTGGTCATTACTGACCCTATAAAATTACAGAAAATAAAGCACTTCTGTAACATCCTGAGTTAGTATTCTCCCATCCTTAATAAAGAGCAATGTGGCAATGATAGAAGAAAGACCATCCTTTTTTTTTTTTGGAACATGGCATTTTATGCTCCAGCATGACTGTCTTATTCCAGTATGTCTGTCTCACAAACTTCTACCTCGAGGAAGGACATGTAGTTAACATAACATTGTGGTCTAGTGGCAGTAACATTTAGCTCCTGAATGCCAGTTTCAGCAGAGTTCAAAGTCACAGGTTCTTCATTACAGTTGAGTCCATCCTCTTGTCGTGTATGTGTCCTTGTCAAAACCTGAGAGCTGAATGTTTGGAGAACAAAAAAAAAAAAATCAGTCCCACCTCACTGTTATAATAACTCTCCTACAGTATATGTAAGTGCTGAAAGATTCATACATTAGACGTTCATTTAAGCCTGTTGATTTTACTCAGTGGATCATGAGTTGTCTTACCTGTACCTTGCAGAAAGAAGAGAACATGATTTTTCTCGTTCCTTTGATAAATATGCATCATAAAGTATAGTTTCAGTATTGGCCAAGCAGAATCCATTAGACCGCCATATATCTGGGAAATAAATCACAAAATATTATAAATACAAATGGTTAAAAATGATATTTCACCCCAATTGAAATAAGAAGTGCATTACATATGCGTATGAAGACAAACCTTCCTCTGTGATGGGACTCTGGTAGAAGGGCTGGACAGAGTCAAGGGAGGATGTCTGAAAAAATGTGAGAGCTGCCTCGGACTGTGAATACTGGGAAAGAAAAAAAACTGCACATGAATGTTCATGCATGTGCATTAATACCTAAATATAATCATTCATTCATTCATCATCTAACACGCTTATCCTCCTAGGTTGCAGAAGGGGTGCTGGAAAGCAGGAAACACACTGGACAGGTGGCCAGTCCATCACAGGGTAAATGTATATGTTTGTATAAATATAGTAATATATCTAATGCTAATGAATTTTTTATCTATTCATGTTTACTTCCAATATTATTACAGTATTGTAATACAATAAATATACATGTAAACATTAATACATAAACAAATTTTCCTTCATGAATATATATATATATATATATATAAATTTGTGTTTATGTATTAATGTTTACATGTATATTTATTGTATTACAATACTGTAATATATATATATATATATATATATATATATATATATATATATATATACCACATTCATATACATTTTTATGTTTAAATATTTGTGTATATCGCCTTTTTTCTGTACGTTATTTATATATTTGTTTTCATTTATTTATATCTTTAAACATTATTTGGCCATTTTTATGTGTAGCTCAAGAATTGGTACATGTTTTCATACCTTTCTGGACATGCTGATTATATTCTTCAGTATTTTTTCCACTTCAGCCAATCTGGTTTCTTCCTTGTCGGTGTTTTTTTCTGACTCTTTTATCCTCTGAATTGCTGAAAAAGTAAAACAGAAAAGAGATATGTTTAAAATGTTAGGCAAAGGGCGAAGACTGTTATGGTATGCCCTCTACAGAGCATCTGCCCCGAATATTTTGAACAAATTCCATCAAATTTAAGTAGGAAATCAGTGCCAAGTCGTGATTAACGTTACCCTCCAGTATCGAGGCTTCAGCTGTCCCTCCATCTCCTGCAGCTGCTCTTACTAACTCCGTCCACAGTCTCTCCGCTCCTGAACTTCCCCTCCGCGAGTTGCTGTTTCTCCGGAGGCTGAACAGCTCCTCTTCCTGCTCCTCCTGCTGGGAGCTTCTGTCCATGAGGCGATGGTCCACCTCTGCCTGCGGTCACTTCTCCTCCAGTGTGAGACACACTACAAAACGTTTTCTAGAACAAATGTAGCAAACTGCTAACCAACAGAGGAGAAGTTCAAGAACCAATACGAACAACTAGCAATGCTAATCAAAATACAGCGGATTCAAACTCACACGAACGCAGCCTTTCTCCACACTTCATGCTAACTCGGACAAAGCTGGAACTGGCTTCTTGTGTGCCAGTTCTTACTCGAATTTTCCGATAGCCCTCAAATGGTGCAGCGGTTTCGTTCAGTGACTGCTGCAATATTTAAGGTGGAACGGGAAATTCGAATGAGAAGCTGACGAATAACAAGCCAGCTCCAGCTTCGTCAAACCTGGTACATTTGTGGGAAAAGAAAAAAAAACTTTTGCTTCGTTTCACTGAGATAAAGGCAGATTTATGTGCATTCAATTTAGGCTCCTTGGCAGCTCGCGATTAGGCGTGTTAATTACCTGCGAGCTACGTGTTTGCTGGTAGCTACAGTACAGTGCCTTACCCTATAAATGGAGCACAACTATAAATCTTAGGTGACTCCAACTTGGAAGGCTTCCAGTAGGCTTCTCTTTAGTAATGTGAATCAGACCCCAGGTAGGGTAATCCCATTTCAATTGGATTAGTGCTGGGATTTGTTTTTCATTCTCAGCAACTCCCACTGGAAAGTATGATCAACAGCCCACCCCCAAGCTAAGTGGACACTTGAGCTATAACCAACAACCCACCAAAAACACGGTATATTCCAGAGCAATCAACAGCCCACCAAGTTCACTGTATGTTCAAGACCTACAATCAGCAGTTTACCAAGTCATCTGTAAACTTAAGATATATGTAATTATCCCACTATGTTTATAATGCACCAATTACTAGAACTGAGGTCAACTTTAGGTTTCATGTCTCATCAGAAAAGAATTTCATTGTAATTTCCACATCTGAAGGACAGAATAGAGAGATTTGTTGATGTTATTAGAAGAACTTCAATGTTCCTACTCTTGCTGACGGACTGGCATAAGAAACAGAGTGGATGCAAGCACTGAAAAAGTTGTATTTAATATTATAAAACACTGAGTAAAAGGCAACAATTACATTTCACAAACATTATATTTCACAATCATACTATAAAATCTCTGCCCAAAACAATGAAAAAGAAAAACAAAAACAAAGTCCAATAAAAAAGTAAACATTTTCCTTAGAATCTCATGTTATTTGGAGGTACGTGGTCTATTGGATGAGCTGGAGCGTGGTCCACTCCTCAGCCCCAGTGCAGGAGACTGCTCAGAGCTGTGGTGTTTGCGCGTGTGTCGTAACAACAGCTGGCGGTCTGGTGTGGAGTACTGGCACAAAGAACAAGGGAAGGACTCTCCTGTGTGATGTCGGCGAGAGTGGAGGTCTAAGCTTTTCTTCTGGATGCTGGCAAAGAAGGAGAAGTTAATTCTATATATGCAAACCTGTACAGACTTCATCTGCCTGTTTAGGACAAATTATGATACTGTATATACAACATGTGTGTTTACCTGCTGTAGGGACAGTACTGGCAGCGATAAGGCTTCTCTTGCGTGTGTGTGCGCAAGTGGCGCCGCAGAGAGCTCCTGTCAATGGAGGCATAAGAACACTGAGGACACTTGTAAGGCTTCTCACCTACAGGAAGCAAGGAAGAAAAATATTTTCTAAAATTTTCCCTCTAAGGCACTCAAATGTCATGGCAACCTTAGCATGGGAAGCATTCTGCTGAAAGGGCTTCCATTAGGCTCTAAATCTCTATGGCACCATGACAGTGAGGCGCCTAGCTGTGGTCCTGTCCAACATTTCCATGCTGTTGCCACAGCTCATGCAGAGACTGTGGGAAAATTCTCCTAATAGCCCCATCATGGCCACAATTTATTCGCACTGTGAAAAGGAACTGAAAAAGTGGTTGACAAGTGGTGTCACCATCATCCTGCAGCAAATGCTAGCCATACTCTTGTATGCCTCCAAAACATGTAAACAACTGAATATGCAGTTGAGGGTAAACTGCATGTAAAACGATATATATAATGAATACTTTTTCTTCTTTGTCTGATACAAAACTAATCTAAGCCTAAGTCTGAATAGTGTGAAATCACCTTTTGCAATTTAGTCTGTGCACTAATGTTATTTCTACTCTTACACAACCATTAGATCACTACTTATTATGCTTCAAAAATATGATTCGCCAATAAGGCTGGCACTTAACAATCAAATTAAGGATAAACTACATGACCAGCAGTAACTCATACTGGTTAAAAATGGTTATGTGGAAAAAACAACTGTTCGAAGTTCAATATGAAAGTTTTTAAGCGTTCTATTAAATGTTGAGTGTTTTTAGAATGGTCTGATTTTAACAATTAGGATTTCCAAAGCAATGAGATTGATTTGAACAGAACTACAGCAGACGTCTCCAGTGAAACACTGTAATCATTTGGAGTGGAATGAAGGTGCTGTACCTGTATGGATGCGCAGGTGCTGGATGAGTGAGGCTTTTAGTCGCGTGCAATAGTGGCAATGGGGGCACTCAAATGGCTTATCCCCCTGGTGGATGCCCATGTGTCGACGCATGGTCAGCTTGGTGGAGAACTTCCTGTTAACAAAATAACTTTCAGACTGATGCCTTTAATTAATACAAGATTTACAGTGAATGTAATACTTCCTGCAACATTATTATTTGTTATATTAGATCAACAAGGACATTCAAGGAACATTCCTAAAGTAGCCTTTTTTGGAGGCCCCCTAATGGCCAACTTGGATATTTTTAATTAATATAATAAACTAAAATATTTTCCCCTAAGTCTAAGTCTGTTATCAGATTAACTAGGACACTGTAGGCTCTCTGTGTATGAAATGTTGTGACTGTGTTGAGCTGTTAGCGAGCAATGATGGGCGAAGGGGGGGGTGAGAACCCCCTGCTATGAAAACAACTCACATCTCTCCACAAAGACAGGTAAAATGGACCGCACAACTACACCCTCCTTGATTAAAAAAAAACACGTAACACTGCTACAATAACAAAACTACCATTTAAACACAAAGACACTTTAAAAATGCTGACTTGCTTGCTTACCTATGAAAGTGAAAATCCAATTTGCTTCCAGTTATACATTTCCATCAAAAGACAATACTGTGCAAATGTTTACAGCACATGAAAAATTATTTTTAAAAAGCTGTTTATTTTGGCAGTAAGCATTTATAAAACACTAATGTTAGAATAAATACAAATAACATTAATATAGTAAGTAGTTATTTTATGTGTTCATTTAACCATTTATAAAGCTCTCCACAGTGCAGCCCAGTATTATTTCTAGTTATTACCCAATACCTGGTTTTGTTCCCCAATCCTTCATTATGAGAAATCAAGTGTGTTGGTGGCAGAATTTAATAAATCTATGCGACGGCTGGATGTGTCCAGGAGAAATCCAGAACCACACTTTGATTTTCAAACCAAGATATCAACTACTTTTCCCAAAACAACTTACTTTTTACTGTATTTATATTTATTTGTATTTATTTTAGTGATGTATAGAGTGTTTACAAGCAAAAATGCACTTACTGCCTAGATAAATGGTTTTAATCAAGACATTTGCAAAGTACTGTATATTCTATTAAAAATATAACATACAACTGTATCTCACCTATTACACAAAGTGCAGCAGAACTCCTTCCTTTTAGGGACCTTCCCTCCTTCGCTCATCTTCTCAGTGAGCCTCACTCCATCTTTCTTCTCCTCATCACTCTTCTTCCTTCCCACAGTCTTGTGTTTCACCCTCGTCTTTCTCACCTGGCACCACGATTCTGGCGGCACCCCTTTGAGGCATTTTGGATAAGTGCTTGATGTCTGAGTGTCAAGCTTTAGTGGTCCTCTGTGTGTGAATAAGCAAGAGTCATTTAGCTCGGTATTTATTACCACCTGGATTCATATTAACACGGCTGTGGAATCAGCCCCATTCTTGAAGGACGTCAGTTTTTCTTTTTTCTAATCACAGCTACACATAGCACACTTCAAAAATGGAGTTCATCATAACAGGGCAACAGTATGGGCCATGTCTGATAAAAGTCAAGCTTTTGCCACAATTCAAACAGGCAAGTAAACAGGCACCTACATCTTATTTCGCTTTAAACAAGGGAGCTAAATCTCCTACTGATCTGATTGAATAATTCTGGCATAATTCAAAAAAGGATTCAAATTCATAGTTAGCTAAATCACTTGCTAGTAAAGGTTAAGCAAGACTTTCTGTTGACACTGATGGGAGCTATCACAACCAAGCAGTTACCACTGTATGCAATTCTATATTTAAAGTTTTCCAGAAACTGTTCAAACAATGAAGATATTTTACATGTCCAGAATAAATAACAGAGCTGTAGATGATTCTATAATGACTGGAGTCCATATTTATTGGATTTCATGGGAGAACAAATTTAAAAAAATTACTAAAATACATAATTATGGTATGTTATAGTATATAATTTATGATTTACTGTAACTATATGTCAAAAAACAAATTATTGAATACAAATATTTGGTATCTGGCTTACAATATTAGTCTACACTGTATAAATTATTATTGAATAAAATAACAGCTATAATGACAAATGATTCCAAATTTTTGAATGGTGGTGTATGTATCAAAAGGAAACACAGATGCTTTCAGAACTAACATTAGTTATAGTAGGACTTACACATGGTAGGAATTCTGACGGTCTGGATCTGGATCATCCTGTGTGTGCCGATTGAGGATGTGCTTATGTATCTTCTTCCATGACTTTTCTAAGATTAACAGAGATAATCAGATACAACTTCATATCATAGTTCCATTCGTTAAAAACTGCATGGTAGGGGTGGGTACTCTTTTTGCTGTACAGATTTTGACAAATAAACTACCCAAATATTAAGTCTTAATTATATAACTTTCACTGGGAACTTTTAAAAATTGATTTATTGGACTCACTGTAAGTGTGACAGTGAACAATCCTCAATAATCTTCTCCAAAAATATTTAGCATTTTTTAAAAACACAGATAAACCAAGCAATACCAAAACATAATACTTTATGCTTATTATGCCCATTCCTGTTTACATAGAAATGTAATTTCATTGTCATGTATCACAGTAACTGTATTTATTACTTAAGTAAAGGTAAGTAATTTTGCTTTACCTGTGAAATCACAGTACAAACACTTATAGCCTCCTTGAAAGTGGCAGCGTTGGTGTATCTCCCATTCTCTCTCTGAGTGGCACCACTCAAGGCACAGAGAACACTGCGCCAGATGAGAAGACTTTGGCCGTGTTCGATGATGCCGGTTATGCCTCTTTTCGTGAGCGTCGCGGGAGTCCGCTCTCCTGAACGTTCTGTGGCAAACAGCACATTTATGAGGCTTCGAGCTCCTCCTTCTTCCGTGGCCCCTCCAATGACGCTCCATATTCACCCACTCCACTGTGGCCCAACTGCAGCGTGGGCACTTAAAGCCCTGCTCTCCGTCATGACACTTCAGATGCACCTCAAGCAGGCTGTGGCTGACCATATTCACCTGCAACAGGGGCGTAAACTCAGACTTCACATCAATCGAATTGATTCTTAATTGATTACAAAACAACATAAAATCTCAAATTTCATCACAGTTTGATTCAATTATTTTGATATTACTGAATTATGTTTAAATACACTAGATACACAAATACAAATCATATTTATTCATAGCAGTGGAATAAACAATAAAAACATTAAAGGGGAAATGATCCAGTGACGTTGTTACGGATCACCAATACAGGAACTGTTGGCAGATGCTAACATCCAGTATTTTTCATGTACATGTTTGCTGATGCCGATACATAAACATTTATAAAAATGAGAAATTGTGACTAATCTACCTGCATTGACTTCACAGAAAAATATATGTACTTTCATTTGTAGAGAGTTACAGATGTAGTAAAATAAATAAAATATAGACATTTTAACACAGTAGTCCATTCTGCTTCTCTGAAGTGCGATAAATATATTATCAAATTTTAGTTTGTAATATCGGTCAAATCTAAACATCTGTCTGATGTCAATATATGTTCTTTCAAAATGTCTTATAAACAGAGTAGAGTTACTACACATAAACTCTATAATAAAGTTCTGATTGTTTTATAATTGAAATAAAACAACATTGATGTAGTTGAATTGTCAGCTTCACACTGATCCATTAATATATATTCATGTATTTTTACACCCTACCTGACAGAGAACGCAGGACAGCCCTCCATCCTCCTCAGCCTGCTTCTGCAATTCAGCCGTGGTCAGCAGGGGCCGTTTGTCGTCCGCAGATGCGTCCAAGGCATCCTGCCCTCCGGCAGTCAGAGCCAGTCTGCTGACTAAAGGAGCCTGCTGAGAGGGGCACTTAGTGCTGGAGATTCTGCACAGCCCAAGCGTCATTAAATGAGCCGACTGGGCCATTTCTTCATCCTGGTCCTCAGTGCAGGCCATCCCAGCAGAAAGGGGTCCAGGCAGGCCATCTCTGGTGTCCTCCAATTGGAAGACGGCCTCCTCCTCACTGCCTTCTCCATGTCTGTCTTCCTCAAACAAAGTGCTCACCTTGACAAATAAGGCCTTGCATCAATTCCCAAGCAACCCTTTTAAAAAAGCCATTTTCAAACACTTCAATTTGAACTCACCTCACATGTCTGGGCCACATGAAGGTTGCCGTCAGAGTTAGAGCTCAAGCCAATGTCGCATGGTGGGGGACTGATGTTCTGCAGCATGCCATACATGGGAAGCAGAAAAGACATGCGCTCCATGTCCATATGGTCCTCACTATTTTTTGAGTCAGAATGTAGGTCGTAAGGAGAGCCACTCTGGTCCAGCTCACCTTCTTCATCAACCCTCATGCCCACAGTCAAGCTCTCCTCATCCTCCTTTTCCAGGCATGAGAGGTGGGTGCACGGTGAGGGTGAAGAATGCCTCTCGGAAACATGGCTGCTGATCCTGGCTTTCTGACTGCTGGTGAACTGGCAGACTCGACAGCGGAAGACCTCGATTAAAAAGGCCTCCACCAAGGTGGACAAGTGAGCTTCAATTCCCTTGGCTGAGTGGCAGTAAAGGTGTGATGTGACGCTCTCCTCCGCAAGCTGCAGAGTAACAGGTTGGACATCTTGGTATGCATCTTTAATCCCACCCATGATATGGACTAGTGATGAAGAGTGAACACACACAGGCAAATACATTAGACTGCTAACATGAGCTGAATTTTCATGGTTAGGACTGATCATGATTCAGTCTGAGCAGTAAGGCCACATGCTCTTCATAATGTTTTACAATACCTAGTGATATTTATATTGGTATTTGGAAGTAACAATATCCTAATTCATATTACCATAACTGACACTGTTACACAAAAACACAGTTTGCCCATGCGCACTACTAAAATTAACTTTTTAAAGTGCCCATTAAAGAGGAATACCACAGAATTTTAAAAATGTATGCATAATTCAGTGGTTGAGATATAAACATAGTCACTCAGAGTGGTTTGATGTGAAATGGCTCATTTGCAGATAAACTTATAGATTTCTTTACAGTGGTGGTGATAGGAGCTAGGGCTCCTAATGCCTACAACGCAAACACAGTCAGTTTATTTACTATCCACAACCACCAGTGAACCTACATGTGTCTTCTGAGATTTATACGTAATGATGATGATGGTAAAATAGTGGTGAATATGAAATATCTTTTCTTTGGGAACTGTTGTATTTTAAAACATCCTTCTTATATCCTTCAACCATAAAAGTATAAAAATAAACTGAAAAGATTATGTTTAAGACCAAAAGCGTTATCGCATAACTACCGTAAAAACTACTGTCTCTGACATCAGACAATGTATTCATAACCATTCCATGTAATAGCCCTCAGTGAGGGAGCCCTTGGAGGTATTAAACTCTAAAGACGTTTGGTTCCGATCACCACCACAACGATTAATTCTGACTCGGCGTGTTTCTCTAGAACGAAGCTTACACAAAGACTTTGTTTACCTTTTAACCATCTAATTAGGCAAAAAAATGATCACTGAGATGCAACAAACAGAAAAAGTTATTACACAATTATTATAAACCTACTGACAACAATAACCTACTGTTTTGAAGAGGTGACTTCAACTTGATCCAAGTTATCCATCAAAAAGCGTTCGTCATTCGGCTTTAGCTAGCTGATCACTGGAGTCAAAAAGTAATTACACGCAAGTCGCCATAACCTTTTCTAATAATTATCTAAATGCTATGTGGTTATAACAGTAACGTTATTTTCTGTTTTTTTTTATATAACAGGAGGAAATAGATAAAAACACTAACTACACAAGATTCCTTGTCATCATTATGGACAACCAGCTAACTAGCCACTTTTTGTTGACGCGTTTGTGGTTGAGGGAGCGAGGGAAAGTGTTCAGCGATAATCCAAACGTATACATTTTTTTTTCTCTCCGCAGCAAACTTTTGGCAAGGTAAAAATAAGAAAGTCAGAGTGTATTCAAAACAACGTTGAATATAAGGTAAATATGACGTAAATATAAAATGTTATGGGTTACGGCTTGCTTTTTAAATTCTCGCTTGTATCTGTACGGCTGTTCTACGTTTCGTTATTACAGTGTGATATTTACCGACGGTGCCCAGAATTCACCCTACGGGGCTAGCGAGCTAACTTGCTATTGCTAACATGGAAACACTGATAAACGAGTCCGCGAATGATTTCGAGTAAGCGACTTTTACCTTTTGTCTGCATGTTTGTTCTTGTAAATGCACATACATGTAGCATATTTGTAATATAATGTTGTGCCATATGGTGGCCATACCAAATGTCAAGTTTCAGTGGTTAATGTTGACCAACAATCTAGCCAAGCTAGCTAGCTACTTAGCTTGCTACACAGACAGGCTAGCTGGCTAGCTTAGCTATCTAGCTAACTATCATAGCACGTTGGCTAGCAAATACAACCATGTTTTTGATTAAAAATGAATTTTGCGTTGCGGATGCATCGTGGGGTTGTTTTAGATTGTTTTTCTTTTACGCACGTTTGGGTAAAATGTCGTGGTGGCGCATTAGCTAACGTTAGCTAGTTAGCTAGTTTGTCAAAAGTAATATGAAAACATAGGATGTTCTGACAAGTTGCAGTGTTAACAGGTAACCTAACTAGCTACAAATACGAAAACAAAATGTTTAAAATGTGACTGACTCTGTTATTAGTTGGTTGGCTATACAACGTCATTTTTTAAAGGTTTTATGGTTGTTGTTTTTTTTTAATTAATTTAATAATATATTATAGTTAACGTGTGTGATGAATGTTTTTCCCTCGTTTAACAGTCCACGTTGGACATCCTAACAGCGTGTCACCGTGACATTTTAGTAACTCAAGGCACTTTGGTGTCTCATGTAGTGTATTGCAATATCGGGAAATGTAAAAGTTGTGTTGCGTTGTGTCTTTCCAGAGAAGATGATGTGGATAACTCTGACAGAAGTAGAAACGGCTCTGGTGAAGAGGAAGAAAATAAAGGTAGGAAATGTGATGACATGGAGAAACACAAGCGAAAGAAACACAAACATCATAGCAAGCACAGAAAGCACAAATATTCGTCGTTAGAGGAAAAGGAACAAAGACACAAACACAGACACAAGCATAAAAAACGCAAACACAGAGATTCCTCCAAGGTGGACGGTGAAGACTGTCGCAATGAGGATATAGCTGATTTTATCTCACTGAAGAGGTCCAGACTGGATGACATGGCAGCTTTGGAGGATTTAGAGAAGCAGAGGGCCTTGATCCAAGCAGAGCTTGATAATGAGCTGCTGGAAGGGAGAGTGCACTCAGGAATGGGACTAATACTGCAGGGATACAACTCAGGCTCAGATGAGGATGGGGAGATGCCAGAAGGGATGTGTAATGGGGAAGAGGAAAGGGACAATATGAATGAGCCCTCTACGACTAAGGGGTGTCCAGTAGCTGAAAAAGCCGAAAGACTGGATTCCTGGTGTCGAAGCAGAAGCGAGTCAAAAGAGATAGCTGTGAAACAGGATAAATCACATAAAAGAAAGAACAGGAATGAGCCAGACACTGATACCAAGGAGAGAACTCGAGGTCCAAGCCCATCCCAGGAGAGGAGGTCATCCAGTAGTGCTCAGCAGTCCAGAGATGGACATCAGAGGTCCAGATCTCCTGGAACATCCAGGAAACAACAATCTGTATACAAAAATCCACATTCACTTTCTTCAGAGACAGAACAGAGAAGTAAAAGGACCCCTTCGCCTTCAGCACCACAGCCTGGAAGCAGACAAAATGCTGATTACGCTAAATCACCAGAGAAGATGAGACGTTCCAGATCCCAAGACAGACATGGCAGACAGCCTGAGTCTGACCACAGACGGGACAGGGACAAGATAGCAGTAAAGTCTCCATCTAAGGAAATCTCATCAGGCAAGGAAAACAGATCTCCCCGCAGAAAGCAAGACCAAAGTCCATCTCGACATAAATCTTCTAACAGGGCCAGAGAACATCATTCTCCTCAGCATCTTCCCAGGAACCCCAGTGGCGACCGAGGGTCCAAGCAAGCCTGCTCTGAGCCCCACAACAGATCTCCAGCCAGGAGGGGTCGGTCTCGTTCTGCAGAGAGAAGACAGAGAGACTTTGAGCGTCAGAGACTCTCACCTGTCAGGTATGAGATGTTTGTAATGTTTACAACAGAAATTATTTTAACCCCTCTGAATTAGGGTTTAGCTGGGGGTATGTTGTAAAGGTTCAATATTCATAAACAAATTATGGTTAATTGTCTTAAATAAATCTCCTGATAAGTTTCTAACTCATCCTCCACACACCAATATTTCAAGCTCCCATATTGTTAATTGGAGAAATGTGTCAACCATTGTGGCCAGTGGTGGGTGGCTTTGCCTAACGAAGACTAGGCCTGGATATTGTTCACAATTTTTCAATACTAAAACCTGACTTTGATAACAATTCCTGAAGATTAAAGTTTTTTTACAGACAAATCAAAATCAGGTGTGACTCAAACGAAAATGAATGTGAGATGCTAAAAGTAGGTATATTAACAGAGTGCAAAGGATTGACCAAGAAGGCACTGATTTACAAGTATGTAGAATGTAATTTAGATGTCCAGAAAATCAAAGTCTAGATTTTGGAACAAGCCTGCTTTTTTAGCTGATAAGTTTGACTATTTAGGTATTAAAATTTTAGTATTGAATGACGACGTTTTTTGATACTCAATAGTTAAAATAATTTAGTTCGACCATAATGGCCGAAATGTTGCGCCAACAATTAATATGAAAGCTTGAAAAATTAGCATTTGTCTTGCACCCAACTTTGGTAGCCATCCTTCTAAAATCATATCTTTCCATATATTTTTCCAAAACGTGATTTGCATCCTACTCACAGTTTGTTGCTGTGACTCTGCTTTGTTTATTGTGTCTGTGTTCCTTGTAGGATGCGCTCCCGTGATGAGGCAGGAGGGGGCAGAGGGTCAAGCCCCTCTCTGAGCTCCAGACGGAGGTTGAGCCGCTCCCCTCTAAGGTGTAGATCCCGTTCCCCCAAGAGATACACCAGTAGGCCAACTCCTCCCAGACGAAGGTGTTTGAGTTGTTTATTCACCCATATACACATAAAGGATCCACATCACAGAATTCTTCTAGGGTTGTTGAATACCATGTTATACTGAGGAAGCCATATTACAATGGATGAAAAGTGGTTGTCTCTCTGTGGGTTGTCTGATCTGCAGTGCCACTAAAATTGCGCTGGTCATGTTTTAGGTCCATGGAGCGGGATAGACTGGGCCACAGGCAGCAACCACGCTCAGGATCTCAGGAGAGACGAAGGAGAAGCAGAGAGAAAGAGGACAAGTTTAAGGGCAGTCTATCTGAAGGCATGAGAGCAGAACAGGATGAATCAGATGATGAAGTGTGAGTACCCAAGGACTAGTACTGTCAACATGGATTGGTCCAGGGATCATGTTATGGTTTTAATGTGAAGCATGATTTTCTACATGCCTAAAGGGCAGTTGTGATTGTGGATCATGTCTGCAAACAGGCTGGAGGATTTTGATGTGGATGAGGAGGATGAGGAAGCTCTGATTCAGCAGAGAAGACTTCAGCGCTTGGCAATTGTGCAGGTCAGACTCCATATTTCTGCTATATCATAGAGTCTGTATGTGTTATTGATATACTGTATTTTGCTGAGAGACCTACAGTAAAAATTAGCATTAAAGATGCAACATCACTGTTGTATTTCATCTGACGGTCACAAATTGCTGACCGTCATGCTTTCACGTGGCCATACGACTTCTAACTATACATATCCTTCATGTTGTCCTAATGTAATAAATATTACATTTATCTCATGAACCTACATGATCTTTCAGTTCCTGTCACTTTGTTGCTCCTATAACTGTGAATAAGTGGGTATAAAATTGCGACGTACACTGATCAGGCATAACGTTATGACCACCTCTTTGTTTCTACGATCATTGTCCATTTGATCAGCTCCACTTACTATATAGGTGCACTTTGTAGTTCTACAATTACAGACTGTAGTCCATCTGTTTCTCTGCATACTTTGTTAGCTCCCTTTTACCCTGTTCTTCAGTGGTCAGGACCCCCATGGACCCTCACAGAGCGGGTACTGTTTGGGTGGTGGATCATTCTCAGCACTGCATCAACACCGATGTGGTGGTGGTGTGTTAGTGTGGATCAGACACAGCAGTGCTGCTGGAGTTTTTAAACACTGTGTCCACTCACTGTCCACTCTTTTAGACACACTTGCGTTGTTGGTCCACCCTGTAGATGTAAAGCCAGAGACAATAGCTCATCTCTTGCTGTAGAGTATGAGCTAATCATCCTCTAGTCCTTCATCAGTGGTCACAGGACGCTGCCCACAGGACTCTGTTGACTGGATACTTTTGGTTAATGGACTATTCTCAGTCCAGCAGTGACACTGAGGTGTTTAAAAACTCCAGCAGCACTGCTGTGTCTGATCCACTCGTACCAGCACAACACACACTAACACACCACCACCTTGTCAGTGTTACTGCAGTGCTGAGAATGATCCACCACCCAAATAGTACCTGCTCTGTGAGGGCCATGGGGGTTCTGACCACTGAAGAACAGGGTAAACGGGGGGCTAACAAAGTATGCAGAGAAACAGATGGACTACAGTCTGTAATTGTAAAACTACAAATAGTGACAAACAGTTTATCTGCAGCCCTCAGTAAACTTGAATGTTCTCTACTCTGTCCTGTGTCTTGTACAGAAATATAAGGAAACAAATGACGACAATATTAAGTCAGAACCCGGAAGTCCTCAGAGTAGCCCCCGCAGCCGCTCGCCCTCGCCAGATGACGTCCTCGAGCGTGTTGCAGCTGATGTGAAGGCTTATGAGCAAGAGAACCTGGACACCTTTGAAGCCAACATTAAAGCCAAGCACAATCTGCTTAGCCAGGAGAAAGATGGTATATTTTATTGTCTCTAGCGTTCAAGCTTTTAAAGATAACAGTGACTGTAGACAGCAGTCAGGACAACATGAGCCTGTTTCACATTGTATACATAGTTTTTATATTTTTTGTGTTTTGGTTAGCAATGTAAATAAATTTGTTGAAAACCAACAGCTTGGTTTCACACCTGGACATTAACATTTGACTAGTTGTTTGTGTGAAATTATAAAGGAGTAAAAGTCTCAGTGAAACTTATTTATTCACTGCTGTCAAGAATTCGTCCTAAAAAGGGATGCCAGAAAAGTCAGTCTATTCATGTCTGTCATGTTTTCAGTTTTAAAGCTTTAATGTCTGACTGTTTTAATTTCAGTGCTTTGTAAATTCTACACAGAAATTAGACACATATGATAAGTATTATTGAATGCAGAAGCAGCGTTCTGATGGGAGCAAGCTGAATCCTGTATGTGATGATGCAGAGAATGTTTGTCCTGAACAGTTTCAAAATGTCTACGTTTAACACAAGCGTTCCAAAAAAACAAAACATTTGAGATCGTCTTGCTTGCTCATTTCTACAGTTTCTACCATTTACTAGTTTTATGTGGTGTGTGTGTATATTTGTTTGTTTGTTTATTTCTTTATTTATTTGAATTATTTTCTCCAGGGGCTAATCCGAAGAAGCCATCAGCTCCAGATATGTTCACGGAATCAGATGACATGTTCGCTGCGTACTTTGACGTGAGTAGCCTGGAATTGGTTTTCCATTGCGTGGGTCTGAAACCTTCCATGCTTGAGTGCTTAAATAAAGTTGTATGTGTAAGTAGATCTGCGCAGGTAGAGTTGCAAACTCTTGTCTCTCTCTTATTGCCTTTAACAGTTCAGGTAAGCTAAACCCCTTTATGCTGAGTGCTGACTTTTTACATCCTTAGTAGGCCTTCAGGACTTGGGCAAATCATAATGAGTTTATATTGTTACTGTGATGTGACCTGCATTTTGTCAAAATGCTTGGATGAACACATCATTCAGTTTTGCCTGGTTTTAGACAGAGCTGCACTCTCTCAGTAAACGCTTTACATGCATTTGCTAAACTACAGAAGACCAATGGTCAGCACCATTCACCATGCGTTTTTTTTTTAAGAAATATATTTTACACTTTTGAAATGTCTTTTAAAATCTTGAATAGACAATTTAGGATGTGCATGATTTTGCTGCACCAGAGATGCTTAAAAAATGCATTATATTTTGACAGTTTGCAGTATTACACCAGAAGTATAGTGATGATGATGATGAATAATTCAAATATCCATAAAAATTCATGAACAGATATTAAGTTATCCACGGAGTGGATTAGAGAGAGAGAGATAAAATCAGCGTGTCAGTATATCATATGCCAGTGCAATTGAACTTTCCTCCAGTTGGTGGCACACTTGTTTGTGTTTGACAAAATGAATAAATATCACCAATGAGCTGACAAAATGGATGTACTCCATTGAAAGTCTGTTGAGAACTATGATGAATATAAAGACGTTATCACATTACATAAAACATGTCTTTCCTTGTCCAGCACTATCATTTCTCCTGGACTTCCAATGAATACTTCCTGAATAGTGATTTCAGTATTTGAACAATGGCACCTGGAAATTGGAGTTTTTTATTATGCATGCTCTCATTTGGTTATGCTTAACATACAGATTAACATAACATATTCTGACAGTCTAGCCATGATACTTGCTGGTAGTTCCACATTTTTATGTAGATGTAGTCATGAGTCGTTACACTAAATGAATAGAGTTGCAATTTTGAAAAATCAGTTGGATCAGGGGGAGACAAACGCTCAATCATGATGACTAAACATTCAACATCCCATCATTGAAAGTTAAGAAAACTATGTACTGCCTCGCTTTACATATTTTCCTACTGTACTGTTGTGTGCATAAAACCGAGACTGCGGTTTCAAAATAAAGTTCAGACCACTGATTAATGCAAAAAAAAAAGAAAAAATAATATGCTTGACATCTTTTTCAAAGTTATTGATAAATCAGTAATTGGCCTAATTTTGTACATTGGTTTTTGATTAAAGTGGTACTCTACTATGTTTCCTCAAAATATAGAGTGGTATCAGTGCTTTAAGTAAAGTCTGTCTGCAAACACTGTTTGATTCTGCTGCTGTGTCTTGCTCTAAAAATTGTAACCCTAATCCCATTTGCTGCCATCCTATTTATTATATTTATCACAATCGTCTGAACAGTACTATGCACTTCTTTATCTCCTAAAAGTGTACAAAATTAAGAGCATATATATTAGTGGTTTTGTCTTTTGCAGAGGTCATTTACACATTTTGTGAAATCAGTATATTTCAACTAGGATCACAAGTGCTGGAGCAAATGTAGTAACACAACATCCCTCGTTGTCACAGGTTTTGAGCAGATAGTTGTATCATGTTTGGATTGTTGTTTCTGCTTCTGGCTTTATGTCCTGTCTTACTATTTTTGATTATTGTACCTTCAGAGTGCAAGGCTACGAGCAGCAGGCATTGGGAAGGACTTCAAGGAGAACCCCAATCTCAAAGACAACTGGACAGACGCAGAAGGATATTATCGTAAGTTGCATAAACATATATGCTTAAATCGTGTCTTTGTTGCCTACATGATTTCTATGAAATCAGTGTGTTTTGTAGTGTTTAATGCTAATGACATGCCAATCTTATAATCAGTGTTCAAAACCATCACTAGTCATGTTTTGATTTTCCTGATGTTTTCAGGAGTGAACATCGGAGAAGTGTTGGACAAGCGTTATGATGTTTATGGCTACACTGGGCAAGGTGTGTTCAGTAACGTTATCCGTGCAAGGGACTTGGCCAGGGCCAGTCAAGAGGTGGCAGTGAAGATCATACGCAACAATGAGCTAATGTAAGTAACACACAATAATTCACTTATACATAGTTTCATTTTTCATTAATAACTTATTTTTTCTCATCTTGGCATATATAAAATTAGAGGTGGGCAGTATCTCAGTATTATGACACAGAGTGAGTGTGAACCCATTCATTTTTCCTTTTAAACCAATGATTGATTTTGTCTTGCTTGTTCCCCCTTTTCATTGCCTTTTTTCAAAATATTGCACTACTGTTGTGCCAATGCATTGTGTTTGCTAATTTATTAGCTTCAGAAAATTGTGATAAGTATCATGGAAATGTCTTCGGGTGTTGTGGTAATATGTTTTTGGCACGTTGCTTACTCGGATATAAAATTACAATATCACCAATATTAAAGGTGAATCTTTTGAGGGGTAAAATGTGGGTTTGCTGATGCTGTGATACAGATGCAGAATGACTGAAAATATGTGACCATGTAGGCAAAAGACAGGCCTCAAAGAGCTGGACTTCCTGAAGAAGCTGAATGATGCCGATCCTGATGATAAGTTCCACTGCCTGCGTCTTTTCAGGCACTTCTACCATAAGCAGCACCTGTGTCTGGTGTTCGAGCCACTCAGGTTAGTTTGTCTCCCTTTAGAACTCATATTCACATCTTAACATCTTCAACTTCTAAAATCATATCAAAGTATGCTATGTACATTACTTTCCATGTTAATGTCTTCAGAATGATGTTAGTTTAATAACTAATTAGATGAAAGTCAGCAATGTTAGCTCAGATTTGTTATTAGTGAGTACATCATTTGTAAATGTGCTGGGTTGATCTGGCTCCAGTATGAACCTCCGCGAGGTCCTGAAGAAGTATGGCAAAGACGTGGGGCTCCACATCAAGGCAGTGCGCTCCTACAGCCAGCAACTTTTCCTGGCTCTCAAACTCCTCAAGCGCTGCAACATCCTTCATGCTGACATTAAACCTGACAACATCCTGGTGAGGCTCATCTGTTTCTGCACAATACAATACAAAGTAACAGTGGCTTCATTTGTTAATTGCATTCTTTTCTGCTAGGTGAATGAGTCTAAGACTATACTGAAGCTCTGTGACTTTGGCTCAGCGTCCCATGTTGCTGATAATGATATCACACCCTACTTGGTCAGCCGGTTCTACAGAGCACCTGAGATCAGTGAGTCTGCCACTGCGATCTCCGAAGCTGGTTCTTGTGCTGTAATGGCAGTAATTGAGTCACTATATTTACGCTTACTCACTCACTGACCAACTTCACCTACCTCATAGCTCCACTACGTAGGTGTGTAGTTGGCAAAAACTGTAGTCCAGGGGTGCCCAATGTTGGTTCTGGAGATTTACCACCCACCAGAGTTTTGCTGCAACCCTAATCTAACACACCTGATCCAGGTAATAAAGGTCTTCAGCGGCATCTGAATACTAAAGCTAGGTGTGTTACATCTGAATTCTACAAGGTGATAGGTCTCTGGTACCAGGATTGGCCACCCCTGCTGTAGTTTTATGCATGATTTGTGCATGATTTGTTAGCCACCCAGTCCCATTCATCATTGGTCAGTTTCTGGCCACAGCACTGCAGCTGACTGGATATTTGGTGGACCATTTTTAACATGAGTTATAGTGGTTTGGTATTTTTGTGTTGTGCTGGTGTGAGAGTATCCAGCACAGCAGTGTTGATGGGGTATTTTTGCACACATCAGTGTCACTGCTAGGTTGAGAGTGGCCAAAACCCAAAAATATCCAGACAAGAGTGGCTCTGTGGTTAGAAACTGACCATTGAAGGTAAGCAGAGAGTAGATATGAATTTAGCATTTAACAAATGGACTACATTCTAACTGTACACCAGCATGGCGAACCTTAAGGTACCTTAAGGTAGAGTTCAGGCTTACAGGTCTTTCAATCATATGCTATGAGTTTGGTACAAGTAATGCAGATTAATATAGTGCTTTCTGTTGTGTATCCTTCTTAAATTCTGTAAATGCTTATAATATGTATCAGAAAAGGTGATCTGGCATAAGTCAACTTTAGTTTTCTAAAAACATTTACAATAATCTTGGGTTTCATAAAGTATTGGTTTTTCAGCTGAATTTGGAGTTGTTGTTTTCTTTTCCTTTGTAGTCATTGGAAAGCCGTATGATTATGGAATCGACATGTGGTCTGTGGGGTGCACGCTGTATGAGTTATACACAGGGAAAATCCTCTTCCCTGGAAAAAACAACAACCACATGCTCAAGCTCGCTATGGACCTTAAAGGAAAGATGCCCAACAAGGTAAGGACAATGCTAGACACGTCAAATTGGATGCAGCTGATGTATTACACACATTTTGCTTTTGTCAGGTTAAGTGAGTTGTGTCTGCAAGTGAATGAATCCCCTATGCTAACATGAATAGTTCAGTACTTGAACAGACTAAATATTGTTAAAATATTTTCTCAGATGATCAGGAAAGGCTTGTTCAAGGACCAACATTTTGATCAAAACTTGAACTTCTTGTATACAGAGGTAGATAAAGTTACTCAACGGGTAAGCATCATTTATATTTGCTTTTTTATGTTTTGTAATGTACTGTTGTTGATTACATTGCCGTTGAGCAACAAGTTGCTCAACTACTCGTTACTTCTTGCTTAAATGAATTTCTATTTGTCATGTCATTATATGTTTTTGTAACTGTCTTCTGTGCTTTTTCCACCTGTTTTTCCTCTCTCTCTTTCTCCCCCTGTCCAGGAGAAAGTCACAGTGATGAGCAGCATCAACCCCACTAAGGACCTGCTGACAGACATGGTGGGTCGCCAGAGGCTGCCAGAAGACCAGCGGAAGAAGGTGGTTCAGCTCAAAGACCTTCTGGACCAGATCCTGGTGCTGGACCCAGCCAAGAGGATTAGCATTAACCAGGCCTTGCAGCACCCCTACATTCAGGAGAGAATGTGACAACCTCTTCCAAATGACCTCTGAGGACACATGGCACGAAGTGCTCAACAAGTCAGCCAGCAAAATGATGGTTTTGTATCTACAGACATGACTCAAAAGATGAAGAGACATTATTTAAGTAATGCTAAAGCTTTCATTTACTTTCTGAACAGCTATGCCATCTTGGCGTCATTTTAAATTTATGATGCATTGCTAAAGTAGTCCCCCACTTTGAATGACGTGCAGGGTGTTTCAAAAAGTTTATTTTCAGTCGGTTTTGTTTTGTTTTTCCGTCCTCTCACTTATGATCTCTGCGGGTCATTAGTCTCTGGGAATGTTGCGAGGACATACATATTTACAACTGTTCAGCAGAAAGTAGGCCTAAGGATACTCAAATGATTGTAAATTGTCCCAGTACTCTGAACTGCCCCTTATTCTGTACAGAATGTTGTCAGATCAGCATAAATGCTGTCTATATCCACATCTCCCTCAGGTGTTAAAGCGTGAGCGCACCCTGGTGCGCGGGCCTGTAGGTGTGTGTCTGCTGAAATCGGAGCTCTTGAGCCCTACCTGATCCCATCTGCAGGAAAGGCCTCCTCTGTAAAGGCAGGTTGTGTTCCTCTATTAGTACACTGAAGGTAAGCTTGCCCCTATAAAATTGCCATCGTTCTTATACGGTGCCAAATGTTTTGGCCAGATGTCCTAAAACTCAGAAATACTCATGCTCTGGCAGCTCTTAGAATGCAGAGACAAGTGGACATCAGCCTAAACCCTCTATCTCTCTGTGTACTGGAATTTCTCAACATTGCTTCCAGAAAGTTCAATCTTAAACGCAAAAAAAGCTCTTGCTTAAACAAGTATGGAAGGAATTCCTTAAGTGAGTCAGTCACAGTTGTTGTTGAGGGTAAGGGGGGGAAAAAATCTGGAATTTTATAACAGAACAGGCACCTTCAGTGTACTGCCTGTGACAGTAAATGCACTGTTTGACAAGAGAAATGTTTGTGCTCTCTAAGTGCACATGTACAAGTTTCATTGTTTTCATTAGTGTTCTTTCAAGGTGTGCATGTGTATATCAAATGCTGCACTGTGTACTTGTTATAAGACCTTCGTTGTGTCCTTCTGCTGTTGTCCTTTGTTCTGACGTGATGTTGTCTTTTGATACAGGGGTATTCCTCATCTGATCTATGAATCTGCTTGTTTTGAGCGGTAATTGCTTCTTTATTTCATATTGATTTATTGTTGGACTCAAACAGATAAAGACACCGAAAGACTAGCTCATGCTGGAAATATTCACCTTGTATATTATTTTTTGCAAATATGTCTCGCCCTGCATGTTAACAACAAGCTTGTATTAATTGTAAATTCACAATATGTTATCGTAAAATAAAAAATAAAGATGTTTTGTGCTGGAGGAAAACTAACAAAACCTGGTTATAGACCTCTAAAGAGTTCTGGTTTGTATTTGATACACCCTGAGGCAGGTAGTCTTAGTTATCATAGTTTAAAGTGATGGCTTATTCAGTGTTTGATTGGAGGCTTTACATTTTTTTGGTTTCACTAACTGCTGTTTGTGATGTTTCTCCCACTGTTTCTCCGTGGATGCTGTGAGAGAGAGAGATTTTATTCTCCAGCCAAAGGAGGCTCTTCTCTGTGCACCATCCTCCAGCCTGCCTCTGCTTTCAAAGAGACGAGACCTTCACAAGAACCCCTTACCCAGGTCACTCCTAAAGGCATGTGTAGCTTCACAGCAATACAGAGATAATCAGAGATTAACTGACATGAAACTGACAAAATTGATGCTTTCTGTCTAATTTGAGTGTAGTTTCCCCCTGAGGCCTCTTTTAAATAGATACGACAATACTTACTGGTATTTGGGAGGTCGGCCACTTTTTTACACTGCAGAAGTACTGCATATGAGTTGTCATTTTTTGCAGGGAAATTGCAGCAAGTGTTGTGAAAGGGGATAGACTTGTAAGTTGCGTAATGTCAAAGAAAACATGAAGTAAGCATGTTTTGCAACTTGTCTAGCACTAGTAACATCAAGAGTAAATCATGTAATATTTATTAACCCTTTACTGCATGAATAATGATTTTTTTCTTACTAAAAATGTCCTAATAAAAAAAAAAATATTCGGGTGGTACACTGCATTTTGTTACATGCAACAATGAAATAGCAGTCTGCAGTGCAAACAATGGGAGTAAACCAATGCACCGCCATCAAGCATAGTTATATAAATAAAAACTATATAAATAGCTTTATGCAATGTGTGCAGTAGCAGTATATCCATTTTCTACTATTGTATGCATTGCAGATTGCAGTTCCATTGATGCATGTTGTTGCCATACGACAACAATTATATATAAGACACAGCAACTAAACCTGTGATATTTATGAGAAAGAATTGCAACTTTCTACAGGTTTTATTTCAGTTTTTCTTGAAGTTGAGGTGTATACATGTTGACTACTGCACACACTTTAAGAGTCCCTCAGCAGCCAGGGCTCACCATGTGATGTATGTGTGAAAAAGTACAGATTGCAACAGAAAGGGACATGATCAGCAAAAAGTATATACAGCCTTCAGTTCCCCAAAGAAAAATATTTTGATATTGTAATCAGGCAAAAAAAAAAAATACTGTTGTCATATGGCAACATAATGCAGTAAAGCGTTAGCGAGTTTTGGGCTTGCTTTGTTGTAGATCCCTAAAGCTTACCCTTTTTTTGAATTTGGATATAGATGGGCAAAAGTTGGAATATAAGGAACTACAAAACATTATTTTGCAGTATACAGTTGAATATTTGGATGTACAATCAATCATATTACTGAACGGCTATGAGGCCAGTTGTCCTACTGATTAACACTTTTTTCATATATATATATATAAAAAAAAATCTGAATTCATTAGCTTACTGTCAGATGTTGATGGAGAATGTTAATTAAAGTAGACCACTTCAAAGATTTATAAAATAAAAACTGTAATTGGAATCTATTTTCATTTTAGCTGATTATTGGCCATATGTATGGCATCACTTTCTGAAGAAGTAAAAGCCTCAGTAATGGCTTTCAGCTTAAAAATGGCTCAGTAAACCTGGGAAGGCTGATGTTTGTGTATTGCTTTATGGTGTTTCAGGATCATGTAGTCTTGACTGCAACCACTTTGTAGGAAGATACTGGTTTATTTGTTCTCTGTATTTTAGGTGCTGCCCACTAGAGAAGACTCTTAAAGGGAACTGCACCTGACCAAAGGTTTCTGTTCTAGAGAGAGATCTTTAAGATTGTTTTTGTCTAACAGTTAACAATACTGTTTTATTTTCTCTTCATAACTCGTTTGTCAGCCATTAAGGAGAGGCATGGGACACTATTCTGCAGGTGTAAGCGCAGGTGCTCAGAGTTCTGTTATAAAACAGTGCCTCAAGCACTTCACTGGCTTAGAAATAACAAATGGTGGTTTGGGTGAAAACTGCTGGCTTTTGACTTAAGAACTGCAGGAGAATAAAATATGTGATAGTTATCACATAATACCCAGACCCTGCCACCTGCAGAATCCTTTCCACAAGTTTTACATCAGCTCCTTCCGAGCTTTAATATAAAAAATGTGTTCTGAAACATTGTTATAATTTGGCGGTATGTTGCCAAATTGAACAACATAAAGGTAATACTCTTCTTTTTTAATTGAGATATATGCTTGTTTATACATGGTCCTTTAGACTAATCTTTAATTCTGTCTTTATTTCAGGGTAAGTCTACTTGCTTCCTGTTCTCATCACTACAAGACCCAAAGCCAGAAAGATATCCTGAGCTTCAGCCAGCCAGATTTTTTACCCAACAGAAGATTTTGTCCTTGTTTCAGTCATCCACATAGAATGATATCAGTACATTTTCAATGAACTGTTTTAAAACTGCTTGTTCAGTCATACTCATTCGCATACTTTATGCTGTTTTAATGTGCAAATGTGTAACTTAAATAAATAGTAAAGAAAAAAACTTCTTTCCATGCTCCGATTTGTTTTTTGTACTGCTATTAGCTAGAGGAATGAACACATCTTAACAGAGACATCATTCTGTCCTGATAAAGTTTAAAGCTTAGCGATTACAATTACTAAATGGCAAACACACTGAAGAAACCGTATTTACATCAAGCTTTTCTGTTAAGTGCAGTCACTGTCTTTTTGGCAGAAGTTGGAGGTGAATCTGCTCTCCGTGGCTTTGTGCTTTTCTTGGTCGCTCGAAGTCTCTTGATCCTAATTGAAGTTGTGGGCTTTGGCGAAATGCTAGCAGATGGAACTAAACTTTCAGTCCTGTTAAATTTGCCTGACATAGTTTGTGGACGCTTAGGTAAGGTTTGGTGTAGGCCCATGCTTCTGCTTCCTTGTCCTGATTTTGTCAAGGGGCAAGTATGATGCCTGTCTCTGCATAAAGAGTTGGGACAGAGCACAAGTTTGGTAAAGCTGCATGTAACAGAATTGCACTCTGTATCCCCTGAAATCCCTAACTTGGATCCTGCAGGATCACCATTTCTCAAACGAGTGGCATTTCGTGTCGGAGTACTAGCAGTAGTTGGGCGGGATCGCACCGGTTTCGCTCGCTCTTTCTGCACAGTGGCAGCCTGAAGCCTTTCTAGCTCTAACAGACGTGCGACCATGGGAGCAAAGCAAGGGTCACTCGTAAACAGCCTCTGCAGACCCTCAGAGTATTCTGTGGAGGAAAGACCCTGAGTAAAATCCAAATCTTTTAGAGGAGCAGGAAGAACCTCTGCGTAAACTTCTATCTCTGTGGAACAAGGAAGATCCAGCTCCTTGTCAAACGCCTCAGGCCTCAGGTCTAGCTCCACAGGCACAGCCCACTTTGAAACCTGAACACTTTCTTTCTCCTGATCTGAAATATCACTGTCATCAGAGTTTAATGATACTGCTGTTTTACTTTGTATGTCCATGTCACAAACTTTCACCTCTGGGATTCCAACATTAGAAACATCTGAACTTGAGTGGAGTGAGCCTTTCATTCTTTCCTCAATTCCTTGTTTTCTGGCTCTCAGAGCTTCAGTGTGGCTAGTCTGTATGGCAGTGATTTTCAGTGGACAGTCAGTCTTAACTTCATCCTGGCTTTTCTCTTGGCTGTGTCCGAATGTGTGGTCATCCCTATTTCTACTAGCAGGATATTGGAGACCAAGCCTCTTCCATCTTTGGGTCAGCATCCTTAACTGGTTGTTGTGATGATGTCTCAGTCTATAAGTGATAACAGAATATCCCATATTTAGGTGGAGAAAAACCTAAGTAGCACAAAGTAATATCTTGAAACAATGTATCCTCCTGAACTGATAAGAGTTCTAGACTTGATATCAGGTCACAGTAGGTAGAAAGCAAGGGGTCTAATGTTGCAGGATAATGTGGAGCTACATTCAGTTCAACTACAGGTTAAAGATTTTGGCAAAGCCGCTAGGCCCTCGTGCCAAGTGCTGTCAGGAAAGATGGTGTACATTTCTGATTTATTCAACACACATCAAAAGCAAAGTTTGAGATGGGCAGGCGAGATAACTAATGAACAGGCCATTATTAAAATACTCATTGTTGTCTGCACAGGTGGCAGTTAATACGCGTCCACCATCACATTGCTGGAAGTGTATGAAGGTAATATTCTGAAACACTCTGGACTTAGATGAACTCATTATGACGATGGCTTTCATCAGGCTGGGAGTGTCCCTAGTGTCCCTAGTGTCCCTAGGGTGAAAAGTCCATATCTACTTACACTCGGGCTGATTCCGGCGAGCTGCAGCAGATGGTTGGCTCCTGTGCCAAATGGACAATGGAACTCCTGGCTGATAAAGATTTCTGTGGAATATATTTCACACTGACTTTACATGCTTTGCCATAACATAGTCGAAGATCAAGACTATTAAAGAGGCTTTTTTTAAACATCCTAAGGTCTTCAAACATGTTAGTATTATGTTTACAACAACAATGAAAAAAAAGACTGATACCTTTGGTACACTTGATCCAGTAGGTATGTGTAGATCTTCAATTTTGTGTATTAACCGTGTGATTAAGAAGTCCTATGAGGACAAAATACTCAGTAGTCCTTTTTTGATCATTTTTACAGTATCAAAGATAAGCTGTCAGAACCAGAACTGTCAGAACTATCATTAATGTGATACACAATGTAGTAGTTTTGTAGTTCTCAAAGTCCTGAGAAAATACACAGAAATAGTCTGAAATCAATGGATGTTGCATAACATTTGTCAAAGTGGTACTGATAGAGCTCGCTTGTTATATGAAATTCCTACCTCGTTAGTTTCTCTCAACAGAGACACACCTGTGCTGAAACATGCAGGCAAACTGAATAGTGTTTCCAAGTGATGATGAAAGTTGATCAGTTTTAAACGCAGAAATGCCACTGACCTCGAGATGGTGCTGGAATGGATGGCACTAGCGTCCTGCCTTTCCATTTAAGCTAAGAAAAAAGAAAGTCAGTTCAGCCAAGCACTCCAACTGAAGACAACTCAGAAGCTGAACACAGGAGAAGAACGTTTCAGTCATGCTGGCAACAGGCCACTTACGCTGTACGTGGTGCTAAGGACGGCAGGTCCTCTGGCAAACTCAGAGCCAAAACGCTCCGTCCAGCCGCTCCTCGCAGAAAATGGAGCCATAGTTCTGACTGGCTGCTGTTCGATACGGAACGTTTATGAAAACATGTTACATCTTCAAAAAAAGAGAACCTTTTAAAGCTTTTAAGGTACAACCTCTGACTTTAGTTTTCAGGAATTTTCACCACAGCAACAACAATCAGCACTAAGCGAATAAATATATATATACAAAACAAAAAACATATAGGCCTAATTGAAACCCACAGAATGGCTTCACTAATACTCAAACCCAGTTGAAGTCACTACAAACCTGGTAACCCCTACTTCGTTTTTCTGATGCTGCTTGGTGGCCGAGAAATATGGCCTCTCGTGTTAGAGCTACTGTACAGGGAGAATTAGTCATATCAAACATCCTTTAGGCAACGACTCAGTGTGGAAAATTCGTGTTAAAGCGCCGAGTTAGTTGCCCTGAATCACAACGTCTTCTAGATAACACTTGGTGAATGAGTAGATTGGTCTGTGATAGTTGTCAACCGCAAAAACTGAAAAGCGAAACCATGGCAACCAGCCGACAGTTAGGAACAACAAACACAAGTGAAAAAAAAGCGCCGCAGGTAGAGACCCTGTTTTTCTTCCTCTGTTTCTGGCTGCAGTAACGTGATGTCAAAAGTTGGACTACGTATCTCCAAATAATGACTTGTTTCCTCAAAATATTGACTTAGTATCTCAAAATAATGAATTGTTTTCCGATAAAACTGACTTAGTATCTCAAATGTGATGTGATCTTTTTTCTTTTTTTTTTTTTTGATCTCGTGTGGATGTGGGTGTTAATGTATTTTTTTATTATTGCTGCTAAACAGAGACGGGAATTGGTTTTCATATCTCAAGCAGCCGTTACTCTAGAATACTGAAGGATGGGGACCCCAAAGCTGTGCCTACAGAAGACTTTTTTACATCTGAACTATCTGGACCAAATGTGCGATTTGAGGGACACAGATTTTTGTGTATGCGTCCTGAAGAAGCACCCCATCTATTAATCATGTTTTATGTGAAAGCATGAATGTTAGTGCTAGCTAGACATTTCGTACTACTGCCTTTGAGACGAAACAGACCCTCGACTGATAAACATTAGGGATGAGATGGTTAGTATGAAACTGTGAATTTCCCTGCTCATAAACACGACACATTTGTCACCTTTATTTATCTTAACCATTAAGTTTAATTCCCCGTTTTCAACATTTGAGCCCAGTATTTGTCTCTCAAAGTACAGTTTGGCGCACTTACGTTATCAACTGTATTACACGCCACTTTAATTGAACGTAAATCCACCCCTTTAATGCAAATCATGGAATGTTCCAGACCTCTTTCCAGTGCTCCGACTTTTCCATGATGAAACTCCGGAGGGGGTGATTTTATTGACCAGCATCTTGACGGCCTAACCGGTGGCTATTGGTATTCATCTGGCTAGGTGGGTTATTTGTTTTTATACAGTAACCACTAATGCTTGTCATCGGTTACACTGCTAAATATATCCAAAATTAACTGGTTACTTTCGTTTCGAGCCAACTAGTAGTGTCTGTGCAGTCAGGGTTAGCTCGGTAGCTCGCTAGCTCCGTCACTGTAGCGCAGCAACGCAGAGCTGCACAGATTCGCTGATCTTCAACTCATTACTTCACGGAGGATCGCCGTGGATTTGATATATAGATCTGTAGACGGCAGGGCGTTTGTTTTGTCGCATGCATCCCACATATTACACTTGACCCACTTATCTCATTAAAATCTGGCAGCGTGTGACTGATATTGTGTGTAGCTGGCTAGTTAGTTAGCTTTATTGCTGAAAGTTAACGTTAGCTTGAAAGCACCATAATGAGGACACTTAGCTAACGTTAGCTTCTTAGTCGGCTACGCTAACTTGCTAGCTAGCATAACAACAGAGCGTAATAGTGACAGATTTGAGCTTTTGTTCTTTATTTTGTTAAAACTTGATCTTTATATGATTTGTTGTTATCATATTTGACAACGAATATGAAAATTGGCACGTTCGCTAGTAGAAAATCTCTTACGCACTATTAATATCATGAGCTACTGATTAATGGTATTTTTAACATTGTTTTTTTCCCCTCAGCGTCTTAAGACAGAACTGTCAAAATGTCCAGCAAAAGGGCTAAGGGGAAGACCACCAAAAAGCGTCCCCAGAGGGCCACTTCAAACGTCTTTGCCATGTTTGATCAGTCACAGATTCAAGAATTCAAGGAAGCCTTCAATATGATTGACCAAAACCGGGACGGCTTTATAGATAAGGAGGACCTACATGACATGCTTGCTTCATTAGGTAAGACCATTCTAGCAGGACTGTTCAGATCTGTTCAGTCTAGTGGGACTGAACTGTGAACAGAGAATTTCCTTCAAAGGAAATTAAGTGCAACGTCAGTGTTCACTCTGTAAACTAAACCATTGGTTCTTGTCAGGTAAGAACCCTACAGATGAATACCTTGAGGCTATGATGAACGAAGCACCTGGTCCCATCAACTTCACAATGTTCCTCACAATGTTTGGAGAAAAACTGAATGGCACAGACCCGGAGGATGTCATCAGAAATGCTTTTGCTTGCTTTGATGAGGAAGGGACAGGTAACTCTATAGAATAATAGTAGACTTAACAACTATTCGGACTGGATTAGTTTTACATGGGGAGGTAATGTAGTTTTGTTTGTTAATGTTTATGACTGATTTGAACAGGATACATCTCAGTTTAAATTAAAGAGGTTGGGGTGACTATTTAATTCACTCAGTGCCGTCACACCAAAAAAAAAGGTTCCATACACAATACATTTGGCTGCTCACAAGTAGAAAACATTTAATTTGATCATAATTTTGGTTACGCTCCACCTAGCTGTCTTAAGTGAATGCCGAGTGTCATTAGCATGGTCATTAGTATAAAACAAAATAAAACCTTTCTCTGTCATTTTAAATGTTTTAATGTTTGCATTCGTGCACATGAGATAGGATAATGCATATTGGCTTCATTTGGGCCACAAGAATACAAATAAATGTTTTTTTTGACTGCCTCTATTAAAAAAAAAAATGTCAAACTCCTTTTCCACAGGATGTGATGGAATATTTACCAACATGGCAATACGTATGGGGTTAATTCTGCAGTTCGTTTAATAGTAGGCAAAAGCTGCTGGAATCTGTACTGATGTGGATGTGATGTGAGTCCATAAAACATTACTGACGAGGAGGATTCAAGAAACACTGGTAATAATTACACCTCTCCTCCTCCACGTGTAAAACGAATCCCATCCAAATAGTACTTTACTGAACAAATGAACATCACATGGAATATTTAATCAGCTTCTTAGTTTCAATACCCTCTTGTGACAAAATAGTGATACAGGTTTGAGTATATAATGATAATGATATCATAATAATGACAGAGGGTTTGAGTGTACATTTTTCATTATAAATACATCATTTAGAACACTTTTGAGGTGGTAGAGTAATTTTTAAATGTTTTCCTGATAATCCATGTAGGATTTATACAAGAAGACTACCTCAGGGAGCTCTTGACCACCATGGGGGACAGGTTCACAGATGAAGAAGTGGATGAGCTCTTCAGAGAAGCCCCTATTGACAAGAAGGGCAACTTCAACTATGTGGCATTCACGCGTATCTTAAAGCATGGTGCCAAGGACAAGGATGATTAGGAAGGAACTGGAATTCACTGAAGATTAATGCAAGTGCATACACTGTTCATAATACTGCACATCCTGTTTAATTGTCTCTGGTTCTTACCTTGTTTAAGACACCTCACACACACTGGCTTTAGAAGAGAGGTGGAAGTCCATAAAACTACAAGGCAACACTAAGGCTGTTAGACCCTTCCCATGGACCTCTCTCATATTACTGTTGTAGACTTGTATATAAGTAATTAACTACATATATGTAAACTGTGGTGTACTCAGGTGCGAAACGAAGCTATGGCAGTTGGAAGGATTGGAAATAAACTGTGGAATGACAGTGTTGTTCACAACTGTTTTTATGTAGTTAAATTTTGCTGGAGGCTGGTTTATTGGTTGTGATCCCATGACAGCATTAATGAAATGTGACAGCTTGAGCAATATCAGCAATGTTAAGACTTAACATTGCTATGTTTAGTGTTCATTTAACCACTTGGCTTTATGTTGGGAAATGTTACTTAGATAAAAGAGTTTAAGAAGATAAAATGTTACTTATATAAGACTGTGTGGAGAATACTACTGGAATTTTATCTGATTAATAGAGAGGAGTGCATAAAGCCCAGGAAAAATCATTTCATATTTTGTTCTGGTTTGTTTCTGCCAGTAAAATTCAATATCTGTGAAAGTCTGTTTCTGTTCAAAGCTCCTTCAAAATTGTGAATTATTATTGCCTAAATAGAAGTTGCTAGGGTGCTTGCAACTTGCCAGTCAAAAGAAACCTGGTGCTGGAAGCATCACCTGATACACCTCACAAGAAGCATTCAGCAGCTGTCATAACCACAAGTGTTCACACCTTCTTGAATATACACTGACAGCAGCGATCTCTTTATCAGACTCCAGCAGTCATTACGAATAACAAAGCAAAACAAACTAGGTGAATGAAAAATGGAAATAAATAACAATAAATAAGTAATATAAATAACATATAGAGTTTATTTTTAAGTGTAATGAAAAAAATCCCATGTTTTGGATGTAGTCTCAGACATTTGGACTCCACCATCCGCTCCGTGCAATTTATGGTTCTGCAGTTACAGACTATAGTCCATCTGTTTCTCTGCATACTTTGTTGGCCCACGTTTACCTTATTCTTCAGTGGTCAGAACTCCCCAAAGGACGTTTTTCGGGTGATGGATCTTCCTCAGCACTGCAGTAATACTGACATGGTGGTGGT